TGAATATGTATGAGATGTTAAAATTATCCTGCCTGACATGCAAACATGTTAAATCTTACATGTTTCATTCTTTCCTCCCCCAACACCACACTCTCTCTTACATATCAGGTCATATTATTTATGTCCATGTAGAAACAATGACTTGAAAGGTCAAATGTTACATTACACACACTACCTCTCATCATACTGTCTGTCAGTGTCGTTCAGTACAATTAATAGTGAGTTTACTGAAACGATTAACAAGCAAACCCCTCAACAAGTATGTAGTCCACCTTCGAACTAACTAACTAACTATGCAGTCAATCAGGCAGTCAGACAGTGAAATATTGTCCTAAGTGGCCTTTTAACCGCTACTCTCGTTAACATGATCATTGCTTAATAATAGAGCAATGCTATGAGTATACTTGTGGTTCAAAGCCTAACATCTTTCCATACCTTCTAATTTCAATAGTCGTGTCTCACGGCCATCAAGTAAAATGGAGCAAATTAAAAGTCAATATTTGCGTCCTTCAACGCGCAATCAGATATTCTGACGATGCCTGAAATGGTGATGGTTGCCGAACAGTAGGAATCCCTTTGATTTTCCACATGATATTTCGTCAATCGGTACAAATGTATTTCTACACAATCTAACAGATCACTCCTCATCCTTCAACTAGCAGTAGTAGTAGTAGTAGTAGTAGTAGATGTTGGAGAAAATTGAAGAATTGAGGAGATGAGAGGAATTGGAACTGATGTCTATAGTGCTCGTATTGACTGAAGTAAATATAAGGAAGAGATTCTGCTATTCGTAGGGTTATAAAGTGAGGTTGTAATATTGGCTGTATGTGATGCTGTTTTCTTAGATATCCATAATTCAGAGCTTTTGCTAACAGCCCATATTGAAAGGAGGAGATGAAGAGGGTTAACTTGAAAGAACATCATGCTTCCTCTCTCTCTCTCTCTCCTCTGTATCCCCATGGATATTCAGGGTTGATGAAAAGGTTTGAAAATAGAGATGTAACAAAACTAAGTTCAAAGTTGAGGCTTCCAAAATGATTTTATTGCCACATCCGCTTGTGTTGTGTGTTCTTCAGGCTCTGAAATAGCCCATTACATTCAGTAAAGTCAGCATTTCTGACATTAACTTTAAGCTACACAACTGAGGACCACTTCACCATGACGTTTTTATAAGTTCTCAGGTGAAGATGCAATGAACGACAGGTTCGCATTTAACGGTTATTTGCCAACTGGTCGATCAAATTGTATTTTTCAAGACTGAAGAAGAAAGATTATGGCACTCCATATTTCAACTTTCCATCCTATGCTCACCCACTGAGTACAAATTCGGAAGAAGAAGAAGTGATTTCTATGGAATGCTTCTATGTCTGCCTGTCTACCTGCTTGTCTGCCTGCTACTGACACTTAAACATTCAAATGTCGTCACCGGAGTGTATGCATTCGTTACACACAAAAAAAGGCTAAAGCAGACAGGAATGCAGACAGACAGAACGTTTTGATTCACAGTCAAGTGAACGGATTATCTCGATTGCTCATAGAGAATATGTTCAGATAACGACCGATTTGTAGTCAACACCAACATAAAGACACACTGTGATGTAGCAACCACCAAAACTATGTACACATGAAGATGTCTGGGGGTCAGCGTTTTCTCGCAGAACACTTTCCATGCTCAGTAAACTTCCTTGCAATTTATCACTTGAACATAGTATTCAAGGTGTAAAGCAAGCCAATGTTAGTCTGATAAACAGCTAGTAAACACAGTCATTTATAAACATCCATCACTATTGTGAGTATATTCAATGTCGTCTGTGATGAAAAGATTCTACCATACAAATTGTCTTATCTTCCTTTTCCAAAATTCACTCAAATATCTTCATGATGAACTTTACATTTTGTTTGCTAAATACTTTGTGTCACAGTAAATTAATATTTCCTTAGCAACTTAAAACATTCTCTTTCATCCACACACACACACACACACACCTACACGCGTACATTGAGTTAATTATCTCAAATCACCAGTGATGTGTACCAACATCAAAGTTTGAATGAAATATCTTTATGTAATGTAGCCTGTGAACTGGAGTGTGCTTATATTAACAAGAACAAATTATTATTAGTAGTATTATCAATATCATTATTATAATTATTATCATTACTATTGGGACTTCGATAAAAATGCTGTCCCTTCGATCACACACTAAAGCTTTGTCGGTTTCTGGGTAATTCACAAGATCGCTAGCACGGAAAGTAAGATCACATTGACGTCAATTATTGGCTGAGTCCCTGCCTACCTACCTACATTTAGATAATGAAATACAAAGCTGTAAGTCTGGTTAGTGGTGAAGTGAGCATTCAATTTTGAAGAATTAGCCAAAATTTTATTCACTAAGACAAAATCACCAGCATATTTGTGTGATATATGAGAAAACTCTTACTGCATTCAGGTGCCTATAATGCGTTTGTCAACTATTCACAACTGCACACAGTCTATCTTCAACATCCTCATTCAATCTTCATCTGTTTACAAAAAAACGACTGTCTCTTACATTGTGAACACAGACAGACTGCCTTAAGTATGTCACCGTTCACACTTCATGCAATTACAGTGAATGTAAGTAAAACGTTTCACAAAACGATGATTCCTCAGATTGATTTTCTTGGCTTAATTGTCTATTCATTTATTCTCTTCACTGTTCCAATGATAGAATTTTGCATAATAAATGTGAGGAAGTAGGGCGTTACGTGATTCCCTGACTGAGACCATTGGGTAGTAGGTAGGCTTGTGTTTATCACACGATGCATGCTGACTATGGCAAGTGAGTGGATTTGAGGAGTCTTCAATGCGCGTAGAAGAAAACAACAGCTCCAATCGACCAACACACACTCACTCACTCACCCACTCAGTCAGTCAGTCAATCAGTCAGTCAGCTGTCAAAAACCCATCAGATAATTCATTCATATCCTACATACTCCTTCCACTCACTGCTTTATTATTAACAAGTCGATCAAGATGTCAACTGAACACTGACCACGCTTTAACAGCTATCTACCAAACACCAAGTACTCACATCTTCCCTGCTATCCCTCCCTCCTCCTCCTCCTCCTATTCGATTCCAGCAAATAAACCACACCCAGTCAACTTAGCAAACTATTTTGTCATGCTGATGGGTGTGAATAAATGTGAATAGTTGACTTTCTTTAACTCCAACTATCAGTGATTATCAAATGTACTAACAGCACTAACAAAAGACTAATTCCAAGCAAGTCACCATATTCTACACCCGAAGTAGTCACTCAGTCAGTCAGTCAGTCAGTCATCAAGGGCAATCCGGTTTCCCAACGTCTAAGAAGAAAAACTCTTATCACCTCCTATTTCATTTTTGCTCTCAAATTTCTTGTCCTTAATAACCAATCACTCTACACTGTGGACCAAATTGTGCATGAACATATTCAAGAAGGACTGTCATCAGACGGTGACGCCTGGCCTCAATCTTAACTTACTTAAGATGTTAGTCCTGACTTGATATTTTGATTTCATAAAGTCAGAGCTACGAAGAAAAAAGTGGTCGAAAACTTCGAACCTTCTTAGTTTCTTTATCATTAATGACGCGGCTTTACTATCACAGACGAAAAGCATAGTAAAAAGGCTGTGCGGTACACTCTACCCATAGCGAGCAATAGACAATTTCACCAGGTCAACAGTCATTCAAGTCGCTTATACTCATTTCAGTGTTTTGGCGGTTACTGAACCACTATGACTGATCTTTTTTTCAAATCAATTAAAGTGATCAACACACTGAATCACTTCACTGTACTATTGTCTGAAGTAACAGTTGAAATTGCGTTGAATTCCTGTTACCATTTGTCAGTTAAACATTGCATGATGGCAGTTCGGTGTTCTCTGAGCTTTGATATTATTTAAGTCGTGGAAGTTTCATCACCAGACCTAGTGACATCCTCGGTACTAACTGCATAAAGACTTCAATGTATTACCTGAATTAATTGTTATCCAATCACTTTTGATAATCCTTAGATAGTAAAGTAAAGTAAAATGCTTAACACTGAGTAGTAGTTGTTGATATATTTGTACTTCTTCATTCGACTTCCATTAGCATATGAGCTGCTATGTGGATGCCTCAATTTTGCCTAGTTGTAGTTAGTAGAGGAATCCAGGAAGTGCGTTTCATCCTATTTGGGACTCGTCAACTGGAGGTACCTGAATTCCAGTGAGTGGTGTTGTTCTAACTTAAACTCGAACCTCCTACCAACCACTCCAAATGCTAAAGTGTTATCCAAGAGGTGACCATCATGTCTATCAGTGGCGTTTGAAGCGATGAGTTTGGAGTTACAGTCTCCTCAGTGGGGACAACATCATTCACTGGTGTCCAGGCATATATGCAGCTGACGAGACAGTCCCAAGTGGGACAAAACGCGCGTTCTCGATTCCTCGACTAGCCATAATCAAGTAAATTATCATAATTGAGTAGTATCTTTAAAAATTGTGCGTTATCATTTCCCTTTTCATCTAACAATTTCAGTCTGTTTTCATTGCTGGTTTTATTAGTCAAGAAATTAGTGTATTGACGGGGGCTTGAGCTGCTAGTTGGTTAACAGGAAGTGGTGGACCGGTTGAAAATGAACTTGGATTGACAGGTGTTCATTATACTAGAAGTTTTGGCAGCGAATACTATACTACCAGTTTAGGTGAACGAAAACTTAAAGAGGATCATAATCATGATGGTCATAGTACAATGCATAATTCAGATGATGAAAATGATATTTCACATCCACATTATCATCGCAGAGGTCGACTACAGACGAATGCTGCTCATGCAGCGGCTACTGCTGCTGTTGATGCTGGGCTAACACCAAAATCTCATTCAGTTCATCCATCATTATTTTCAGAGGAAAATAAAAGATACGGTTGAGGGAATGGAGGTGATACCAATGGTTACACTGCAGGACGTCTACCTACTGGAGCGCATGGTTAAATAATGGGCTTAGGATTGGGTTCAGCAATTGATGTTGCAGTCACTATTAATGCTTCTCTATTTCCAGGTAATCATCATCATCATAACAGTAATAATCACTCATCAGACACAAATCGGCCAACGCGATACCCTCAGCCTACAAATGCAGCAGCAGCAGCAGCAGCAGCAGCCATGGCATCAGTAGCTCCACCACCGTTGAAAGACCTGGAAATTCGTCAGGTAGAGGGGAATGATGGCCCACAAGGTAGGTCAAATGAAGTTTTGGATATCTATGTGCATTTTGTGTACTTATTACATAACATTCGTGATATAGCCATACGAGTCCCACGTGATTTGCAGATTCCATATGAAGGAACAGTTAAACAGAATAATTCTTAGTGGTTTCCAACCTAGAGTCAAGATGCATACACAGCCATATATCGAAGACTAATTATGTTATGAATTGATACTTTACGGTTTACTTCCCGGTCGACTGTTTACGGGGTGAATCCGAAGCTATCCTTGAAAGATTTGTTTGGTAATGGTTAGCAGTGAACTCGAGGACAATTGTTTCGTCATGTTTAGAACTTGTCACACAGATTGACATGCAACCGATTGAGACTGGAGTCTGACACACATTGCTCCAAATGTCAGTGTTACTTACCGGGTTTATGAGTCATGAAAATCACCTGTTGTACAGTGAGAGATGTGGGCGATAGTGACAGTTCACTGGAAAACTGAAATCATGGATTATCTGTGAAAACCAGAATATTTATACTAAACCAATAGAAAAAAAGAGCCTTCACATTGGAAAAATGAGAGTTTTGAAGTCGAGCAGAGAAGAGGGTAACAAAAGGAATTTGTAATGAAACTCTAGTCTTATTTTTGATAATCTGAAATTGAGAAGCCAGGATTGGATTGGCCAGTTTGTTCTTTAGAATACACATCATAATTTAGAAGCAGTATTCATCATGGACTGACGTCATTTGGGGAACCATTAAAAATCTGGGAGCGCTCGACAGCTGTCTCGTCCTAGTATGGGACTCCTCAGCAGTTCACACCCACGACCCCACCACGGATCGAACTCAGCACCTTCAGGTTTCACGGCGAATGCGTTACACAATGCAATACACATTATATTTAAGCTTGTTGATGAAAATGGCTTTAGTTAGACATGGTTCTCTCTCTTCCTTTGTGATATAGGTACTAGAATTTCCTATTTGTATGTCTGGAACAAATGCTGAGTCATTCCTCTTGCTTGTAATTCATGTTGATTCGATACACAAAGATTCGACTATCCATCTCTTCTTCTCTAACATACCTATAAAGATTTTCATTCTATCCCATCCTATTGTGTGATTCTATGTAATTGGATATGTAACTGTAACCAAGTTGATTTGCAAATTCTTTATCGCACTATAAACAAACTAACACCCTTGATTCAGTCAAGTTTTTGTGCTCACTTAGCTTAAATAAAATTTGTCGACTAGTTTAACTTATGTTTTTCACCTAGCTGAGTATCTCTCCAGGTTACTTACTTAACTCAGTTGAGTCTGTCACTCTATGTTTCACTAAGTTTTCGCTTTGTCCTATTCTACCCGACCTAGATCTGCTACTTTGACCTCATAATCGTTAAATGATATTTGCTAGATTAAGTTATTTTGTTTAATTGTCTATAGAGGATCTTTTAGCCAGTAAAGTTTCTCTCTGAATCAATTTGTAGGTTTCAATGTCACCCCAATCTCAAAATTGTTAAGAATCCTAAGTTAACTTTCCAATATCACTTTAGTATATAACAACCGTTGCAAAGAATCTAAATTCTCCACCAGGTAGATTGCATGCAATTAACACTAATGTTATTATTGCTTCTCTCAATAGTCCTCATTAACGTTTTAGGAACTTCAGAAAGCCACTAACTAATTCAGTAGTATTATCTCTTCAATGTGTGTTTCAATTTCGCTCTTAAATTTTTTAACTTACTAGTGAAATTCTTTGTTCAATTGTTGAGATATTTTACTGTGGCTATTTTGATAAATGTCATATTGTTTATTTCAATGTTCAATCTCTTCTAAATTCCTTCATTTCCTAATGTTACGTATTATATGACATCAGGTTTTCATTTTAAGTAATCTGTCATTCTCATCTACTTCCTAATGGCTTTAAACAATGTTCATTTAATATCCCTATCAACAATCTGTCAGAAGGCGAATTAACATATATTCCAGTTAATATCAGAATCTGTCTTCCAATCATTCCTTACAGTTTCCCGTAATGTAAACTAGTTCCCAGAATTCCTAATGTATCTTACTAACCTCATATTCTCACTAATAATTTCTTGTCAACTTGGTTAAATTATGCTGTATGGCTTATTTTCTATGTAGCTTAAAAGAATCCTAGAAAATAAAGATGAGTTTATATTCTTCAGTTTCATTCATATCTGTTGTCAACTATCTACAAGAGGTATCTGAAATCATGAGGGGACTAATGTTCTCGAAAAGATGTTAAAGTTTCTTCTTCACTTACCTATGAAATGTTTAAGTAGTGATTTAATTATTGCACTGTATGACCATTTTATGATGATGCAAGTCAATGAGAAAAGCACTATATACACAGCCTAGAATATAACTTCATACTATCATCATTTTACATAAAATTTTAGTGTTCAGAAATAGATCCATTGTGGAGAATCAGTTTAACTTCGAATTCATTGTTTTGATTTGATAATTACACCTATGAACCCAACAATTTCCCTCGAACAGTGGATTCAGGAAACAGCTTCACTGATTTAATGATGAATAGTGGCTAGCAGTGGAATCCAGGACGTTCGTCTCGTCTCATTTGGGACTCTTCAGGTGAATGTACCTGCCTCCTAGTCAGCGATGTTCTTCCCACTAAGAGTCTATCTAACTTGGAACTGATTGCTTCAAAAGGCAGAGGGTTATTGACCAAACTACCGAATCACAATAGCCACTTCTTGTACTATGGGTGTTGTTTTAACTTTGTTGTTTCTATTACCTCGTTGTTGAGTGGACAGAATTGATCGGTCTACTGTGGTGTATAGGCTCCTGCACGGATACCTGGATATTGCCTGTTTTTCACTTTAATATTAATGAGATACAATGGCGAGCACTGGAATCAAGGATACGCATTCCGTTCTATCTGGTGCTCATCAGCTGGATGCTTTATTGGTTTACCATATTGCTTTTCGAATGAACCAATATTAATGATGGATGGTGACAAGCATTGGAATCCAGGCCGATCAAATCGGTCCACACCAGTCAATAGTAATTTCCAGTTTCACAGCTACGAAGTTTTATCTGTACCTGGTACTGACTAAAACTCTTAAATTTCGATCCACACGTGAAATACACATATTGTACTCAGCCAATTCACCTAGTTCTTTCTCCATTACAGAAAAACATATAAATGATCAATTTCACTACATAGTGTCCACTTGAATAATCAGCATGAATTTCGGTAAGTCTATACACTTACTTTGTAATTCATCACGCATATCTTGCAATTACTCCGATTTTATGTACTGCTAGAATGCAAAATCTTGGTCACCCTCATGATAACAGCATATGTGTAGTATTCTCATGCACTGTAACTTTTAAACAGCATATATAGAGGGTTTCCTGATAAATGCTATGAAATGTCAACCATGTAAAATGAGGTTTTCGACTCCTTTTGTTCTTATTGTAACTGAATTTTCTCAAAATTGAATGATGATGTACGTTTGAACTCCAAGCTGTGAATATTAAAGATCCATTATTGTAATGGCTTTAATTTGAGTTGACGGATATCTCAGTGTCAAGCTAGGCATCCGAATTTATATACTTGATAGCTTGATTTACACTTTGGCATACTTTGACTTTTCAGTCTATCAGAGTAGATCTGCTTATCAAGCAAAACAACGTGAAGAAGAATTAGCTCGAGTGAGACAAGAATTTTAAGCGAAAACCTCATTATTACAAGCTACTGCTGGTGGTCGATGTGGACGTCGAGATAGAGAGCGAAGATAGAGAAATGCAAATGGTTATTGGGATTCATCAAATCATGAACGACATCATGCTCACAGTAATAATGATTTCTCACAATCACCTCATCCATGGAATCGACCACCTGTTTGATCTATGACTAGAGCATGTTCGCCGGATGATTAAACAGTAAAATATTACAATACATCTAATGACTGATATCTTTTCCTGGTCCTTTTTTCATCCCATAAACTTCTCATTAACATCAGCACACTTATTATCTTTATTTGTCATATTGTAGATAAGAAATGCATTCTTTTAATATGAATAAGTAAAAGGGCATTTTGTTCAATGATCAAGTGTACTCAACATCATCTTATTATTTAAAATAAGTCGAAAAAGAAAGAAAAGATAAAAGACAACCAAAATAAAAACTATGAGTAAGTCGAATCTGAAGAAGGTCTAACATGAAGATGAAATTCAATGAAGTTATTACTACCATTCAATGTTCAACAGCTGCTTTGTTTTAACCAAACTTATATATTGAATTGGCGCGCGAAATGAATTAATTCAAGAATATAGTTAATAAATAAATTTTAAAAACTCACTAAATGAATGCTCGTTTTCATTGTATGCTGTATATTAATAAAGATATAATGTGTAGAGATGGTATTCAATTATGGTTTTTGTATTTCACGTGGTTTTCTGATATACTTGGCTTTTTCCTAATTAAATAAAATGTGAAGAAAGAGATAAGTGGAATATTTTTGTCAAATATCATGAATGATATATCTATGTGGTATAAAGTAATTCATAGATGAAGAGATGGATAGGCGAAACGATACAGAATTTTGTGCTATATGACTATTCGGTTTTAACTCTGACACAATTTGCAACGCTACATAAATATGAAACGTATGGAAATGTATGACGATCAAAATTGTGATGTATTTGTCCAATACATTTCAAACAGTCTGATCACTCACACTTACCTGTGAAGTCAGTTTATGTTGAACCGAAAAGGATGCGGGGATAAACAGAACGATTAAGATAACAAAGGATTAAAATTCAGAATAAAGATAACGAATTATTGACTAAAACACTTATGAATCGCCTGATAGCCAATGAAGTTAATAAGCCGTTGTAGAAGACAGTTAACATCAAAGCCCACTCTATATACAGTTCCTAAGGTAATTGTCCATATCATTCTACCATGTGGAGGTCGATAGGGGGAACTGAATAGTAGAATTTGTTAGATGTAGACTGACATTAGATATTAAGAAAACATATTATCCAACTAATCTTATTATTGTAGAGAACACAAAACACACCTCACCACAATTTTAAACACCACATCAAAGATTACGTCATATCTGATTGTTTTTACCAATTTACATGTGTATGAGATTAAGGCATACG